AGTTTCAGGCTGATAGAAGGTGATGTAAGAGAGGTTAGGGCATTGCTTTATTGATAGAGGAGACCATCACTGCAGTGATGAGGTCAGTGTCTTCGAAGGCTGTTCAAACAAGGACACATGGGTAAAGCTCCGCAATAAAAAAGAGGCAATCATTTTGCTGGGATTGTACCACAGGCCTCCTAACAGTCACAGGAAGATAGATATGAGCAGACATGGGGAGCAAATCACAGAGTTGTGTGAGAGTAATAGGGTTATAGTAGTAGGGGATTTCAACTTTGTTATCTTTACTGGATTGCCTTAGTGTGAAAGGATTGGATGGGGTGGAACTTTTAAAGAGCATTCAGGAAAACTTTATGTTCTAGAACATAGATAGTCCCACTGGAGATGGGGCAGTGGTAGACCTAATCCTAGGAAATGAAGCCAGTCAAGTGATTGAAGAATCAGTGGGTGAACATTTTGAGAATAATGACTATAACTCTGCAAGTGTCAACGCCATTGTGGAAAGAATCAAGGATAGTGCAGAAGTTAAGTGTCTACATTGGGGGAATGCCAATTTCAATGCCATTAGACAGGATCTGGTCATCACACACTGGGAGTAGCTACTTGCAGGTAAGTTTACATTTGGAAAGTGGGACTCTTTTAAAAGTAATATAGAGAGAGTTCGGGGCCAGCGTGTTCCTCTGATAGGAAAGTGCAAAGGCAACAGAACTCTGCGTGCTGCGGGGAGAGTTCAATGAAGAAAAGGAAATAAACATATGTTAGATACAGAGCATTAAAAACAGGGAGGCCTGTCAGGAGTATAGAGAGTGTAGGGGAGTGCTTAAAAAAGAAATTAGGAGGGCAAAGAGGGGCCACAAAATATCTTTGCAGACAGGATTAAGGAAAACTCCAAGGCATTTTATAAATATACTAAAGAACAAAAGGATTACCAGGGAAAGAGTGGGGCCTATTAGAAACCAAGGGGCAGTCTGTGTGTGGAGCCAGAGGATGTGGATGAGGTAGTCAATGAATATTTCTCATCGGTATTCACAAAGGAGAAATACTTCCAGCTGGAGATGTCATTTGGGACAGTGACGTTCTAGAACATATCAAGATTAATAACGAGGAGGTATTAGATGTTTTATTAGGCATCAAGGTGCATAAATCTCCAAGGCCTGATAAGATGTTTCCCAAGCTGCTACAGAAGGCAAAGAAGGAGATTGCTGGGACCCAGGCAGAGTGATTTAATATTTGTTGGCCATATGTGGTTACTTTGTTCAAGAAGGGCAGCAGGGATAGGTCAGGTAATTACAGACCAGTTAGTCTGACAAGCGTGGTAGGGAAATTATTGGAAAAAATTATAAGGGACAGGATTAATCAAGACTTGGAAAGGCAAGGATTGATCAGGATAGTCAGCACAGATTTGTTGGAGGCAGATTCTGCCTGACTAATTTAATTGAGTTTTTTGAAAATGTGACTAAACATATTGATGGGTGTAGTGCAGTTGATGTAATTTGCATAGACATCATTTAAATGGAAGGCTGGTCCAAAAGATAAAAGCCAATGGGATCCAATTCAAGTTGACTAACTGGATCCAAAATTGGTTTGCAAACAGGAAGCAAGGGGTGATGGTGGAGGTAACACAGTGTGGAGCTGGAGAAGCACAGCAGGCCAGGCAGCATCAGAGGAGCAGGAAAGTTGATGTCTCAGGTTTCTGAAGAAGGGTCCCGACCCGAAACATCAACTTTCTTGCTCCTCTGATGCTGCCTGGCCTGCTGTGTTCCTCCAACTCCACGCTGTGTTATCTCTGACTCAAGCATCACCAGTTCTTAATATCTTTGAGTGATGGTGGATGGTTGCTTTTGTAATTGAAAGTCTGTGACCAGCTGTTTGGTGCTGGGATCCTTGCTGTTTGTTATGTACATGAACAATTTGGATCTGATGTAGAATGTATAATTCGGAAATTTGCAGATGACATGAAAATTGGTGATGTTGTTAGTGAGGAGGATGATCTCAGGCTAAAGTCTGATATTGATCAGCTGGTAAACTGGGCAGAACAATGGCAGATAGAATTTAATCCTGATAAGTGTGAGGTGATACATTTTGGGAGTTCCACTAAGGGAAGGACATACACAATAAATGGTAGGTCCTTATGGAGTACTGAGGAACAAAGGAACCTTGGCATACAGGCTGGTGAAGAAGGCATGAAGCATGCTTGCCTTCATTATCCAGGGCATAGAATATAGGAGCAGGGAAGTCTTGTTGCAACTTTATAAATCATTGATTAGGCCACAGATGGAATACTGTGTGCAGTTTCTGATCACCACACTATCGGACAGATATGATTGAATTGGAGACGGTGCAGGGGAGATTCACCAGGATGTTGCTTGGGATGAAAAGTCTCAGTTACGATGAGAGTCTGGATAAACTCAGTTTGTTTTCCTTGGAGCAGAGGAGGCTAGGGGGGATGGGGGCGATCTGACTGAGGTTTACAAAGTTATGAGAGGCATAGTCAGAGTAGATCATGAGAACCTTCCCCCATGGCAGACGTGTCTAAGACCATAGGGCATATGTTTAAGGTGAGGAGTAATTGGGATCTGAGAACTTTTTTTCATCCCATGGATGTTAGATGTATTGAACATGTGGCCTGAGAGGATGGTACAGGTGGGTGCTCTCCCAACATTTAAGGAACAGCTGATCGAAGATTGCTGAGTGGGTCCCACTGCCAGTAAGTGTGGGCTTAGGACATGCTTTCTGCTGCAACACCAGGCTCCCAACCTCCCATGGTAAAACTCAACCCATTAACCCAAAACTCTGGGGCAGTGCATCCCAGATCTTAACCACTCCCTCACTGCATGAAGAAATTTTTCCTCTTGTTACTTTTGTTTCTTTAATGAATTCATTTAAATCTGTGGCCTCTTGTTCTTCCGATTTAGTCTATCCAGGTCACAGAACTCTGAGGGTCGATGTGGACTTGTTGGGCCGAGGAGCCTGTTTCCACACTGTAGGGATTCTATGGAAGCTCTATGGATTCTAACTGTAATGGTGCAGAAGGAGGTCCAAGCGGCACGGTGGATCAGTGGTTAGCACTGTTACCTCACAGCGCCAGGGCCTGGGTTCAATTCCACCCTCAGGCAACTGTCTGTATGGAGTTTGCACATTCTCCCCGTGTCTGCATGGGTTTCCTCCCACAGTCCAAAGATGTGTAGGCTAGGTGGATTGGCCATGCTAAATTGCCTGCAAAGTTCAGGGATGTGTAGATTAGATGCGTTATAGGGGTATGGGTCTAGGTGGGGTGCTCTGAGGGTCGGTGTGGACTTGTTGGGCCAAAGAGCCTGTTTCCACGCTGTAGGGATTCAATAGAGGTCATTCAGCCCATCGGGTCTGCTCTGGCTGTCTACCCATTTTTAACACAGGTCGCTGCAGAGATGAGACTGGATAGGTTATGGTGACAATGCATGCTGAGGTTTGGGGACGGAATACTGTCAGGTTTTCATTCCGCTATGTGGTCCCACTGTAAAGAGGACTGCTTT